TAATAATTCTGTGTCATACCAGAGTCATAGAGGAGAAACTAGGGAAATAACCATGACTTTATTCTGTTCAGGTGAAATTCACAATGAATTTTTAAAGAATACATAGACACATTAATAGAAACATCTTTATTGATCACAAACTAAATAAAAAAAAACAAAAACATGATTATTATTCTTTTCCAGTAGAGTGATCAACAAAAACAACATGTTTAAGAAAAGGTGATATTTAATTAACATAAGTCACTACTTCACAATGGGACTTACGTGACTATTATCATAACCTCAAGGGTGTACAAGTCATATAATGTGTGTTTAAAACATTTTTCAAGTGTATCCCAAAAGAAAAATGATTATAAAACTTTAAAGAAAAAGAAAAAACACATTTGTACAGTTCACAGCTAAAAAAAAAATCCCAAAAGAACAATGCCATCACATAAATCTTCCCTGATGGTGTAAATTACACACAGGTAAATTAGTGTAAACAGCTTACTCACTTCTACCAAAATGTTATACTTTTGTTCTGTCTTTTGCTAGAGTCCTTAAAAAGAGAACAATAGAAAATATTCTTATCCAGCAACGGAAAAAAAACGTAAATGACCCGGAAGAAGTCACTGCACGTGTCTGCCTGCTCAATTTAGAAGCTCTGTTTAAACAAACAGAGGGAAAAACAGTAGCTTATATGTATTTTTGGCATTTCATTTTATAGGGAAAGCAACACTGGAATCCATTACTACAACCCTCGGCGTGTTATATGTGCCTGTGCTGTGTTCGTAAATACCAACTTCATGCTAAACTGCTGTCCTGAGGAAAACTTGCCAAAATTGTCTTTACTGATCAGAACTGCAAGAAAGAGTACACCTGGGGGCAGTATAGAGTCAGCCCCCCTTTAGCCTGAATCTGGTCCCCTCTGTAGACTCTCAGTATCACAAAACTGAAAGGACTGCACTTAATTGCCTTATCAGATTATCTTACATTAAAGGATTCTGGACAGATTTCACATGAAAACAGCTCAAATTTGGCAGAACCTTACTGATGCATTACAGTTCAATGGCGTCATGAACAACAGACGAATCAATGCCTCGTACACAAATACTGAAAATCATAACCTTCACGAAGGATTACTTCTTTCAGCCGTTTCTGTAATACCCAAAGGTGATAAAGTGTTAATAATAGCAAAGAATACGAGCAGTTTTGTCCTTTAGTCTTTACATGTGGCATCTTCAGGGACCTGACATCCCTCTGAAAGTTGCTTCGATTTGCTCCAGCGTCTTGCCCTTGGTTTCTGGGACGAAGATCATGGTGAAGATGACATTCAGGATGCACATGGAAGCAAATAGCCAGAAAGTTCCTGCACTGGTTAGAAGACTCTGCAACGCAAATAGGTATCCAGACAGGGGGTGGGGGGGGTGGGGCACAGAGAACTATGTCAAAAACACTCAAAATATCCCGACTGCAGCGCAAATTCAATTCAAATTTTCATCCTTGCATCAAAATATGTTTTCACAGCTTCACAAATTGTCACTTATATGAATTTAACTGTTATTTTTCCATCCTCAGTATGTTGGAGAGGCTTCTCCAGGTAGCAGAGCTGGCCTTCAGCAATGAGACAGACAGCTACACAATCCAACATCCAAAGCCAATTTAGAATGACCAATCAATGTAACATGCAGTTTTTTGACCTCCAGGAGGAAGTTATACAAAGATATAGCTGTAGAGTATTCTAGATGTTGGTGTAGAGTAAACTTTGTTTTTTAAACTCACAAATACAGATGGTTAAAAAAATTAAACAAAACTATAATCCTGTACAAAAAAATGAAACCCATTATCCTTTGAGCTGAGAATATCCAATCTAAAAGTGACAGCGCTTTGAGACAATACAGCGAACCTAAGCAGGCTATGGAGTGACTACTGACTACTTAAGCTGCTGTTATGGTTGGCATGTTGGTCTCTGCTCAGTCTAAATGTGACATCAGACCCATAACTATTCATAAGGGTGCTTGTGGTACACTGGACGTGGTGAAGTCTTCTCGTAAACAACATGTTTTGCAACTCAGCGGGAAAAAAAAATTATACTAAAACAAGTCCAAAGAGGAAACAAAATAATTATGGTGGTTTGAAAGTTTTCTCCACAAAATCTCATCTTTTTTTGCTCCAGCTGTTACAGCTTTTCCCCTTTGTACCCTGGTTATCTCAATGTGCCTGTACTGACCCATCACTGAAACAGCAATAGACATTAAGCTTTTCAAACACTCATTTTTCCAGCCTGACTAAGTCAGGAGTCATGCAGCATTTGTGAGAGCAACAATGGTGAGCATAAATGGCCAGTTAAGTCTGTTATGACTGATGGCAAATTAGGGCAGTTACAACAACTATGTGTATACTGGACTAAATGCTTCCCTTAATATGCTCGTTAAGTAGGAATGCACTTCTCTGCAGCTCTTCTCGTGTTGGCAGGGAAGCTTTCTGGGAATAAACTATGTTTGATGGGGGCAAGTCATCAAAATTTTGCCATAAGTCAGTAATGATGTGTTTCCAATGGTTTCTGTGTTCTGCTATCTCATCACAACCATGATAACAAACAATAATGATTACTGTGTGACATCACTTTGACTTTCTGGTGAGTTACGTTATGCTAACTGTTCCAACAGGCTCTTACTCCACATCCATTGAACCAATTGTGGTAAACATGCAGCCTATGTGCCAGAAACCAGCCCAGCAAAGGGCTCTACTTTGTCCCCCGGATGGTGCTGCAAAGTGCAAAATTTGCAGTGAAGTCTTTTTATGTTATCTTAAGTAAACATGCTGTATGCTCATGTGTTCACTAAAAAAAGGATCCCAGATGTAAGATAAAATTTCACTTCTGTTTAATTAAATTTCACTTCTGTTTGCAATCCTGGGTGAAATGTGGTTTTATGGATCTTTAACAGATTTGGTATTCTGTTCAACACTCACCATCATATCCTGGAAGTTTTTGGTGACGACGAATGCCATGCTCCAGTTGGTGAGGACGCAGACAGCGCTGGCAAACCCCCTCACTTTCACCGGGAAGATCTCTGACATGACGAGCCACGGGATCGGACCCCAGCCGAGAGCAAAACCTGAACAGGACAGCAACAGTTATTAAAGTGGCATGGTCTGTTGGGGGAATACACCCACAAGTTTAACAGCAGCACTAATTTGTTTGGGTGTTTTGGAGTATTAAATGTAGGGCTGTTCGATATAACGATATAACGTCTAATGTTTCATATTACCGTAATTGTCGGGCTATAAGCCGCAACTTTTTGCACAAGCTTTGAACCCTGCGGCTTTTAGTCAGGTGCGGCTTTTCTATGGATTGTCCATGATTTTTGT